TGCCTTTCGATGAACTTGGTTTCGCGACCACTCGACTTGAAAGCTGCAATAATTACGGTGAGCAGCATGATATGTGCCGTTTGGGCTTTGCAATATAAAACTACCCAGCTGACACAGTTCTTGCACGCTTCTTCGTCAGTTAACTTGCCGCAATTAGTGAAGTTTACAGCAACTTTACCAGTGAAGTGAGGGAGATGTGTGTCAAAGAGAATGCGATCTGGTATAGGCTCATCCTTTGAAACCTCGTTCATTGATTTCATCCGCTCCACCATGATTCTCATACGASTATCTAGGCCGCTGAATTCCTGATCTTGTAATGCTTTGYTGAATTTGCTAAATTCTCTTTGAATTTCTCTCTTGACTTCTTGAATAAGCATTGTTGCCATATCTGGTTGACTTGGTGAGCTRTATGATARAATAGCACCTAGTATACCACATATAGCACTTGCAGCGGCACCGTAAGGCCCACCAATCATGCTTGATACGGACTGTGCGATGTTTAAACATCCTTTAATGATTCGTGAAGGTTCACCACTCGTMAGGTCGTYAAGAGAARTAATGGAGGTCTCAATAACTTTACCAACTTCTGWAATCTTKTSTAWTYCATTRTCAGACTTTCTTTCGTCAGCCCACTCGCGAATGCTTTGAACTTTCTCTGTGATTTTACACTCTGCGGTTTCGTGGTTGCAAAAACTATTGACTTTGGCTTCAAAATCTGAAAGGAGAGGAGGTAACYCATGTATTGCTTCGCAAGAGTTGATTTCTTTACATGGCTCATCCATGTTTGTATTCTTGATTGTAAGGCTTCGCTGTGATTTCGAGTGTTCTCACTATTATGGCTTCAGTCAGTGGTAAGTTCCACGATGTGCCGCTCTCCAGATGCGAACCAAATTTAAAAACTACATGGCAAACAAATCATGGTAAACAAAGCAGCCAATCACAGCTCTCTTCTTCTTCTTGACAGATATAACGTCACATATAATAATGATGCAAACATGCTCTCAAGGGCTTTTTCTTTTGAAACAATGAACAAAAATACTCTTTCAATAGCGATTTTTAATCATTTATTGTGCAATAGCACATAAGACACATAACCGAAACCTCTTTTTCGGATATTTAACAGCAACAGTTGTACACAGATAGACACGGCGGCCATACAGTCTGTGTGCTTTTTCTCGATTTTCCTACTTTTCCATTACGTTAATGGACGATATTCTGNTGATAAGTCACTGGCAGTGTAGTACCCACATCAAATCAACATGCATGCTAATATCTAAGTAGGTTTTTGAAAAGGATACTTCTCAAAAATATAAAAAATGAATAAAGGAATCTTTCAATAATTAAACAAAAACAATCCCAAAGTCCAGAAAAGCTATCTAAGTAGATTAGCGAGCCCTTATTACTGGTTGTCTCATTGCTGAGTGGCACTGCTTGGAATTCCCAAAGTCACCAAACATAACACTCCCCAAGAGATCAGAGTACACAGTGTACTACATTAAGCAACAGCAAATCAACATGCTAATTGCACTGCTTGATATTAGCAAACTTTTCACATTCTTTCACAGGCCACTGTTAGTAAATTTTTACTTTGCCACCCGGACAGACTACATGTCATGAGATGAGCTCTTATAACACAGAAGTAGTCACGGTTGTTATTTTTTTCAAGTTATTACCCCAAAAAAGATTATTGACATATGTTGATTAGTAACAAAAACAAAGAAAGGAAAGAAAATATATAAAAAAAGTTTTTCCGTCATAGAGTTGTTTTTCTAGATCATTTTACATCTTATAAATAAAACGTATCTAGATATACAAATATTTATTTATGCAGGTGATTATAAATGTATAGTATTCAGAACAAATATCTTACCTTTTTTCAGTTTTATGCGTAGTGATAATCTTGTAGAGCTTGCCTTATTGAATATGTATTATCTGTCTAGGAATGTCATGAGAATCTTATCAAAATAATAAGTGCTTTCTTGGTGATCTAGTCGACTACTCTACTTGACTTTATGTGGTTCGCAAGCTAAGATTCTTGAAAGATGCATCTGATTTCTTTTTATTTTTCATCTTTCTTGCAGGTTTCTCTCCATTCATGTACTTAGTTAGTTTTCATGTCAGCTATTGTACTTGAATTTGCTAGTCGGAAGAAACTGATTCCCCAACGCGATTTTGTAAAGAAAAGGGAATCAGAAAACCACGAAAGATCTCAGTAAAATCATAACTTTGAGTTTCAAGTCAAGCCCTAATCTTCTTGCCGCGTTTTCTTGTAAACCTTCATTCTAGAGTGGTCAGGCGTTCCTAGTCGGTCGGTACCAAGCTCTATCTCGGAGACCTGGCTACTCAGTCTTTTAGGCGTGACACGCTTTCTGCACGTGTTGATATACTTCGTCAGGCAGTTTTTTGCGTAATTTTCGCAGTTTACTAAAAAATGATTTACGAATCATAAACCCAGTTTAAAAAATATGGTGTTTTTGAAATATTTACTGCACGATGAAACAAAAGAGAAACAAATGTTTAGTTATCATATTCAAGGGCGGATCCAGGGGAGGTGCTATGGGTGCCGGCGGACACCCCCCCCTCCTTTTTTGGACGACGTAATTGTTGTTTAGATATCAGTGTAAACATATTGTTTGTGCTGTTAATACTCCTGTTGTAGTTTTATCGAGAAAATGAGTAGCATGCACTACATGTGTCTGGCACCATGCTACTTAACATTCTACGTTGCAAAAAACGCCAATTTGCTTCCGGTCAAATTGTGCATAATTTTCTTGCTCTAGACAATATGGTCCGTTTATACTACTGACAACCACCCCCCCCCCCCCCC